CTATCAGGTCTAAAAGTGGTCTGATTTCTAGTGTCAATTATTCTTTTCGGTGCTTTGTTCATACGCCCCACCCATTTGTAAGTCGCAGATTAATTTTCCTTTTATAATTTTCTGCCTCAGAATGTTCTAATTTCCTACTCTACATATAAACGAATCTAAACTTTTGAGGCAATACTTTTAATGTTTGAGGCAAATAAATAATTGAAGCAAAAAAATAGAAATAAATCTTTGACACAAATAGGGAGGGTGTGGGACGGAGCGTTGAATTTTCTCAGCTGACTTCTTTTTATTAAAATCTTTTACTTTTGATCAAACGCTTACTTTTAAGGATGAATTTCAAACGCAGGGGGATGTTGCTCTGAGTACAGGAGATAAATAAAATTATATAACTATATTTTTTTATTTAATAAAACTAAATAAATTACTCATCAAAATTTTGTTCAGTTATAAATATGATTAATATAAAATTTAGTAACTGATAGATAATATCTGATGATTTTACATTTCTAAAATAGAATTTATAATTAATTTAAAATTTATACAAATATTTTCTATAGTTTATTTATTACATTAAACATTAATTGGTATTTATATATTTTTTAATTTTTATCACCAGAAATATATGAAGATATTCTAAAACAATAATAAAAATAAAAGTTAAGATCTCTTTAGCCATTTTACTTCCAAATTCAAGACAAATAAACATATCACGCGATAACCTATGCTTTATACTCTAATTAAATCTCTATAATATCACGACCCAAAAAATCTGTTTAAAAAATTTAAATATACCTAGGCATGTTAGTCTCTGAGAAATTAAAAAAATTTAAATACAATAACTTAATTTCCGGGGTTATTATATCTTATGTATATATTGTTGAATAATATTATATATTATTAAAATTTAGAAAATGACTAAAATACATTTTTTTATCCGTTTATTTTTATTACTTTATTCTATATTAATAACTAAATGTTCAATTAATGATTCAAAGATTACCTCTCGAGGCAAAGTTTATGAAGTTGATTATAAGAAAATATCAGCTAAGAATGTGACATCCTGCCGAGGGTAATTATAATAACTTTTCAAATTTTCAGTTAGCTCACTTAATAATTTTTTGATAAATAATAGTAACAATTAGGTTCATTATATTGTCGAAACACAAGAATGTTAGAAAATTCTTGACTTTTTTTACCAGAGCATCCTTAACTTTTTTGCTAGATTTAAATTATCTATTAAAATAAATATTAAAAATATTTTTCCAATAAAATAAAAGATTTAAAAAAAATCATAATTCAAAAAATTTGTTAAATAATGTATCCAATTTAAAAAATTCTCGTTTTATACTTTTTTCCTTATTTTGTAAAATTTTAGCATTCTTATCTGCTATCAAAGCCGATTAAGTTTGAATTCAGAAAGCAATTGGAAACCGAATAAACTGTTTGAATTAACAAAAAAAGGAGAAAGTCAATTATGTTTTAAATCACAACAGGAAGGTTCTAATGATCTTAAAAAGATAAAGAATGCTAATTGGCACGGATTTTTATTCTTTAAAAATGGAAAAAGGAATTTTGAGCTGCAGGCAGATATCTTCCCCGAGGGGTTTGTTAAAATACACGAATATATTATAGTAATCAAATTTGTGCCAACATTAACAATACAGTCCGATCTCATCCCTATATCCTCCCACTCTTATTGCCTTGAATTTTATAAACGGGTTTTCGACCTTCGACCATAAGTTGACCCGACTGTTAAAACTTGGAAATAATTCTGAACTTTATTATCAAGCTAAGAACAAATGAGTATTTGTCTAGTTTCTAGTAAATTTATTATATGTAAATATGACTGAATAAATCAGTAATAGAAATATTTATCTCAAAAAATCTCAACCTTGAAAACCTAAATTGTTTTAATAAAAACTAGTTGTGCCCATTGGGGTATGGCGGTAACTTACGTATGCAATAGGTTTAGTTACGATACTTTATAATTTTTATGCTCTGCCCGTTGGAAAGCCTTACGGCTTTGGGGCGCGCTTCGCGCGCTGCTAGAAACAGTTACATTCTTTTTTGCATTTCAACTCTTCCCGTTTTTAACCGTGCTTAGCCATTGTTGTATAACATTTTATTATTATACAACAATGCCCAGGGTACACCACGTGGAGGTGCACGGAGGTAAACGGGCAAACCCTGTACCCCATTTTTGGGGGGAGGGGGGGGTTGGATTTTAGAAAAATATACACGAAAAATGAGAGATAAGGGAGCCGAAAATAATTATAGGGTGCCTGAAATATTTGTAAAAAATTTTTTTGATATGGGAATATGTGTTAGATTTGTGTTAGTGGGATTAGTAATAGTAAAAAATAAAAAATATTATTGATTTAACCTGTAAAAAGAAATAATTATTATTATAAATTTTATTAAAAACCTAATTAATGTAATTAATTTGTTTAATTAAAACTTAAATCAAAAAAGTTTAATCAGAATTAAATTTTCAGTCCTTTAAATAAACAGTTTAAAATAATTCAACAAAAATATTTTATTAAACTTTGTATACCCTAAAGGTACAATAATTTTTACAATTCAACAATCAACAATCATTATTAAAATATTTTAATAATAATATTTAAATAAAAACATTTTAATAATGATTGTAGAATTATAAAATGTATCAACAATCATTATTAAAAATGTTTTTATTTAAATATTATTATTAAAATATTTTAATAATGATTGTTGATTGTTGAATTGTAAAAATTATTAATAACTTGTGGGTATAAAGAAAAATTTTTTTCGTTTTTACCAACATCTTCCTTAATTTTCTCAACCACATTCTTATTTTCTTCCAAAATTATCTTATTGTCATTTTTATTTATGATTGGAGGCGGAGGTGGAGGCGAAGGTACTGCCACTGGAGGTGGAAACGGAAAAACATGACGAACACTATTAACAGAAACTGGAGGTGCGAATCCCTAAACGCGTTAAATCAATAATATAGAAACTACAATAAACATAAAGCCTAAACTAAAGTGTAATTAGATTAAAAAAATTATGAAAGAAGAGTGAGTGAATGAATGTGATTATAGATAAATTTTATATGAAAGGAATACCCCCTCCCCCTATAAATTATGAAAGGAAGACCCATAATATCTAATTACAATTAAACTAAGTTAAAATACCTAAAAATATAAATTAAACCGTACAATTCTAACCGTCGGGACTCTATTTTCAATTTTCGAATTATTAAATGTTCTGGCAACACGATTATAAGGTTTGAATCTTTGGTCGGCGAAGCGGACCACTCGTTTGATTGGATCTATCGATTAAAATACAAAGTTTAAACTATTATAGAATAAAGGGTTTTCCTGTGTACGTATAATCAATATAAAATTATTTTTCTATGTAAACGATTTTTCATTACAAATTCACAAAGACGAGACAAAAACCCCATATTCTATAATAAGATTTTAAAAATACAAGAAGGTTTTCCATAATTTTGTAAAGAATTTGAAGATGACGGTTCAGAAATTTCAGCACTTGAAGGCTTCGAATCTATAGATAAAAATAAGATATGTAAATCTGAAAAAAACTACTAATATTTTTATCCATAGAAGAATCGGACGAAGAACTACGTGAACGTGAGGATCGGGTTGGAGACCGACTTGGTGAACGACTCTTTGAACGCGAACGATTCGAACTCGAATGAGAACCGGACTCAGACACTAAAAACACATAATTAAGATTATTGAAATTATAGTTAAATGAACTCATATCAACATTATTTTCATTAACATTTCCAACATTTTCATTAAACGAATGAGAACCTGACCCAGACACTAAAAACATATAAATTAAGTTATTGAAATTATAATTAAATGAACCCTTATCAACACTATTTTCATTAACATTTCCAACACTTTCATTAACATTATTTTCTGTCAAATTTTCTGTCAAACTTTCCGAAGAAGAATCAGCAGTTTTTGCTTTGGAACCGAAAAACGTTTTGTAGAGCAAGTTAAATAACATGTTTTTAAAAAATCTAAACAAATAAATTATATTTTATAGATAAGTTCCAAACTAAACAACAAAAAAGAGCAGAATTTGACAAAAAAACGATACAAGAAGATTGTTTCAAATGAAATTCTGTGGATGGTGGTTTAATGGATGGTATAAACGCCTTTTGTGGGGTGGTGGCTATATTTAAACCTTATTAATATACAATAAAAGCCTCACACACTTGTCAGCCACTGTCTCCTAATTATCCCCTAATTGCTTATTCCAAATACCCCAACCATTTTTATTTCTTCAACTTTATTGTGTTTAATTTTGTATAATAAACACATTTTTACATCGCTTCCTTTTTTGTTATTGTTAATTTTTTCCGTTTTTTATCATACTTCGCCATTTTTATAACAATAAAAATACCCAGAGTACACCACGTGGAGGTGTATGAAGGGAAACGGACAAAACCTTGTACTCCGTGGGAGGGACCCCACCCCAAAAATAAATAATATAAAATAAAAAACCCCACAAATAATATTAAAAAATAAATAACACCAAAACACAATAAAATTTAATTAACAAACAAAACAAATAAAATGTAAATCGGTCGGCAGAAGCCTTCCGTACGATTATGCCTCTATTAGACATAAAAGTGAATAAATAATAAAAAAAAACAAATAAAATGTAAATCGGTCGGCAGAAGCCTTCCGTACGATTATGCCTCTATTAGACATAAAAGTGAATAAATAAAAAAACAAATAAAATGTAAATCGGTCGGCAGAAGCCTTCCGTACGATTATGCCTCTATTAGACATAAAAGTGAATAAATAATAAAAAAACAAATAAAATGCTAAATCGGTCGGCAGAAGCCTTCCGTACGATTATGCCCCTAATGGACATAAAAGTGAATAAATTAAACTAAAACTCAAATACAACTATAAAAAATTAATACAATAAATAAATACAAAAAAACAAAAATACTAATTAAATTCCCAAAAAAATCAAAGTCCATTACTATAAATATCCCCATCTCTATCAAAAAATATTCCAAAAAACAGCCAACAAAGAATAAAAAAAAACGAAACAAATAAATTATAAATAAACACCTCACCCAGAAATACCAAATACAAAAAAAATTCCCAAACAAAAAATATATAAATTAAAACCTTATTCATAAACAAACTAAAACAACAACCAAAACAAATCAAAGGAAACGTCGATTCAAAAATAACACATTAAAATAATTTTATTTCTATCAAAGTTTTCAAAAACAAAATAAGCAGCTCCCAAAATATCTACTAATTATATGTATTTATTTTAAATTCAGTCAAAAGAAATTCCTCTCGCTACAACATTTCTCATAGAAATATTTCCATTATTATCAGGGATTTTTCCGGGTGCAAAAACTCGAATGTTTTCTCCACTTCTGGCCCGTGAAAAAGCGGTATAAGTCTGGCCATGCGCAAAAGGCTCATCGCTTATATCAATTCCTAAACGTTCACAAGTTTGCCCTTGGGCTTTAGTAATAGTCATGCAAAAAGCCACCCTTACGGGAAACTGAAATCGTTCAAAACTAACACAATCAGGTCGAATATCTTTATAACTATTTCTTGCACGACATATTCCAATAGTAATACCACGGTCAGAAGAACCACTTATGGTTTCTGCCTCAATTAAATCTTGATGTAAACGCCTAACAATCATTCTGGTGCCGTTACATAAACCCTTCTGGGTATTTAAATTTTGAAGCAAAACAATTACTGCACCAACTTTAAGTTTTATATTATGGGCAGGCATTCCTATTGGCGTAAGCCTGTTCAATTGCGCAACTTCATACTCAGCTAAATTATAAGCAAAAGGATTTTCACTCGTGGGATTATCTATTGATAAATATTCTTGAACAGGCGAGTCTATCAAACCAACAATTTCTTCATTAATCATATCAACTACTCTATTAGTTGGTGAAAGAATTAACCTTTTTAATAATTCGTGAACTGGTGCATCAAACCCAGTGTTAAATACGAATGCATACAAGTCTTGGCGCGAATTAACCCTCATTCCTTCTGGTATACTAACTGAATCACCTGTTTGACCAGTTCCAATACTATAAAGCCAATCTTTAAACTGAATTTCTGAAGGAATTACACGCATATTTTGTAACAATCTGTGTTTTTCGAATCTTCCATATAAATCTGAGGATTGGATTGATGCTGCCACCTGTGCTCCAGGTGACGACGAGTCATTAACTACAGGAAGGGACTGCTTCCAATCACCTGATATTATAATTATCTTTCCCCCAAAAGGCTGATCTTTAAAATGCGGAATTAATTTTTTACACAAAAGATTAACATTTTCAAAAACTGTCCTATTTAACATTGAAACTTCATCAATAATTATTACATTAGCCTCAATAATTCTACGTCCAAAGTAACTATCTGCTGTTACAGGTGGTATGACTCCTGGCTCAACATCCCTACCAAATCTAAAGGCAGAGTGAAATGTCATCCCACCAGAGTAATAATTAGTGGCAGCTATTCCAGTCGAAGCGGTCGCTAATACTTTTTGTCTCATTTCTCTTAATTTATAAATAACATAATTAAGAAGGAAAGTTTTCCCTGTACCCCCATCACCAGACAAGAAAAATAATTTATTTTTGGTAAAAGGATCTAAAACAGACGATCGAATTAACCTGAAAAATCTATGCTGTTCAGGATTTAGATTCGCGGTATCAAAAATAGTTGTGTCAATTGCTTCATCCATTTCATCATCGTTAATATGATGCGGAAAGAAAAAATCTTCGAGAGCCCTGTTTGGATCATTTATTAATGGACAATTAGGAGAAGGAAGATTAAATTCCTGCAAAGTACGACCCTGACTTAGTAACATTCTTTCTATAATTGCCAATGCTCTGTCAATTCTAATTGATTTTTCTGCTTCTGAACACCTTCTTCTATCATAAAAATGTTCGATAAACATATTCCATAGTAAAAGACCATCAATTACACATTTTTCAGTCCCCCCAAAAGCAAGAATATTGGCAAAAAGCTGTCTCATCTGGGAAGGATTTAAGGAAATAGAACCCTCTCTTAAAGTGCGTTCCCAAACATTATTATCTTCAAACAATCCTCTTAATCTAGCAGCCTCAGCAAACGTTAGACATGCATGACCATTAACAGTTAAAAGATCTTCGGGCGTGCCAGGAAAATGTTTAGTTAAAATGTATAAAGCAAATTTTTCCGGATCCCTTGGTGACACAGAAAAAATTCTCCCTATACGAGGTTTGCGGTTTTTATTTTTTTCATTAATATTCAACTTTTTCCAAACCTTATCTTTCGTATTAAACGCGTACGTTTCGGGCATGTTTTCAAAAAGAATATTTTTAACTGCGGAATCCTTATCACATAACTTCCAATAAGCAGAAAGAGGCAAATCTGGAATATTACCCGAATTAATAGCATTAATCAATTTACTTGTATTTTTACGTGTAAAATAAAGCTTCTGATTTTCCGGTAAATGAATAGTTAATGCTTTTACAATATGTGATAAAAAAGCATATTTATACGACATAATTCTTGTATACGCTTCAGTTGGGCTCCGATAAATCATTCTGGCATAATGCAATGGCTCATCTACATTTATAAGACCGCTAGTTTCGCTACGTACATAGGAAAAACTTGAACCCTTGAAAGGATATTTTAAAGCATATTTTAAATTATCAGTTTGTCCGTAAGCAAATTCTAAGTTATGATGGCACTGAAACATCACCAAAATTAGTGGATTATACGGCACAACTCTAGAATTGTCATAAGTGATAAACTCACCACCCCGCTTTATTTTCAAAACGTCTCCACCATCCTTAGGGGAAGGCCGATAATATTCTGCCGGCGTATTCTCATGCAAAACCGTAATGTTACTAAAAGGTTTTGGGAACCCCTTTTTACATTTACCATTAGTCATCTTACAATGCTCTGAGCAGTCATGAAGCTGATAAAGCGGTAACAGTTCTCTAACTTTTCTCATAAATTTAGCCCACCCAGAATTATCATCTGCAGGAGGTTCAGGTGGTATATGCGCATAAATTAAATTTTCAATATTTTCAGGGGTTGCAACAATATTGGTACAAAAAACTCTATGTAAATGAGGCCCTCCAATCCTTTTCTGAAACTCTCTACTCTCGCCATATCCCAAAATTTTTCCAAAAATATTTTTCTTGTTTAATAAATAATGGAGATGTCGTAGCTTGTCTTCGTATACCCTACTAATTATATCAAATCGATCCACAATTTTCTGATTTTTATGAAACAAATTTCTCTTAGTTTCGGGCCAGCGAGGATTGCTGGTAAAAGTGAACATAAATGATGCGTTTTCAGGTTTGCGAACTCTAGCCATAAGAGCTGTGGCGTCGTAAAACATGTCCTGAAAATAAGGTCTCGTCCCAGGATGATAAGACCTAAACATAACAACATGCCCTAAATCAGCAATAGAATTAGCACCAGAATCCCTTTGCAACCACCTAAGCGCGTCTGGGCCAATAGTAGCACGCAAATCCATGTCGTCCCTACGTAAATAATTAGCTACTTCGGAATCTATTCTAGCTGTGTAATCTAAAGCATATTTTTGGCTTAACCCTCCACCAGAATTCCAAATATTATGATAATCCTCGTGCTTTCTTACCGCTAATCTATATTTAACATAGTCTCGAATACTAATATTTTTACGACTGTTTTCTAAAAGTGGATCAGGCTCGCAATCAGAACAATCATTATCACTTTTATCTTCAGTTAACACTTTTCTAGCAAATGGAATTTTATTATGATAACTATCATCTCCACACGGAAACAAAAGAGGGTAACATAATGTATCTGTTTGAGGATGATGTGGTGGGAAAACAAATAACTTCCCCTGATCCCCAGTAATAAAAAGCCCTTTTACAATAGGAGGTTCATCTGACTCTGTGTGCAATGAAAACAACGTTTCCTCTGTAGGAAGATTAACCTGTCTAACATGTAATGTGTTATCTATAATAAGCTCAGGCGCTTCTCGCTCCTCTAAAAGTACGAGTCTGAAATTTTGAACAGAATCTGGGCCATCCCTTGCTAACTTTTCTAAATATTGATCATGAAAATTTTTATAAGTATTTGCTAAAGGGTGACAGTTTCTAAGAAGAGTATCTAAATTCTTTAAAATATCTGGATCGACCCTATCACCACCGTAAGCAACGTTAGAAACACGATGTTGAAATGCAGTATCAGCATCCAAAATATATAACTGGGAAAATGATGGCCCTGAATCTCCAGCAATCATCGAGCTCATTTTCCTAACAAACTCACCGTTTAACAGATAACAAACGCCACCATATAATGTGGTTTCTCGGTGCCCAACATAAACAGACGCAAAAGCCAATAGGGAATTGTAAATATTATGTTTTTTCAAAAAATTTTTAGAATCTTTGGTATCCCCTTTTGTCAAATCTTTTAATAGCTGAGGATGTGGCTTAAACGAAGGAAGCTTAATTAAACCACAACGACAACAATATGAAGACGAAACCTTTTTAAACTTTTTTAAATGTGCGTCGTTAATTTCAGACTTAAACAACAATGCTCCACAATAATAACAGTCAGCGTCTCCAATATTTCCAGAGTCATAATAGCTAACAACGTGCCTTGCACGCACGTCTGCGCAAGGATATAATTTATGCGATAGATGACAACGTGGTTTAATTTCATTTAAAGAGGCAATGTTAATATTACTAATATATAAATCAGAAATCTCTTTATTCTTTAAGGCTCTAATTCTTTCAGACCTTCTTAATGGCGGATCTGGATCTAAATTTAAAACAGGCAAATCATTAACAACACAATTATCTTCCACAAAACTACCTAAATCCAAATTAAAATTATAAACATTATTATTTACCGGCGCGTTTCTATGATGATTATCAAAAAGCCTAACATAATTAATATCATCAGAAAGAAGCAGTTGCGAAAGATTCCATAAAATGCGTTTCCTCTCGTGATGAATATTTAAATTCGAATAAAGCAACGAACGATTATTAAACAAATATAATTCAGAATAAAGACAAACAAAAAACCCACAATTAACCCCATCAAATTGTTCAACAAAATCACCACGAGGTATGGGATTAATATGAATATCATTCTCATTAATGTTAGGGGTCAAATCAATTATAGCTCTTTTAATCAAATCAATACGCCGAATGTCAAATCCGGGATAT